ACATATTTTCTATAAAATAATCATAGTATTACATTAAAAATGGTTTCTTGCTGTCAGAAAGATTTTCATAAGTATAAAATCAACACTATGTTCTGTAAAATCGCTGAGGAAGTCAAAGAAATGAAAAGAAGAATATGACATATACATATCCTCTTTTAAAAATTATTTTTGGGGATTCAAGTTTTTGAGAGATGATCAAGTTTAATATCAATACTTACTTAAGGTGTCATGATTTAATTACTGGAAATGTTGATGCGCCCATCATTTAGGTGGGGTCGGTAAGCAAAGTTCCTAAGTACGAGACATTTTCAAATTTTGTCAAAACACTTACTTGTGCTCAAAGTATGTTTGAACTACTCATACTGTAGGGCTCCCTGGCAAAGCAGTCTGAATACTGTATAATCCAGCAGGAAAATCAAAGTTGTCAAGGACTGTGTGTCTATAATAATGTCAAACCACATGATTAGGAAGATCTCTAGGGATACTAAAGTTTTAAAAAATTACCAAATACTAAAAGTCTCTTAATAAAAATTATCTATAGGTAAATTATTTAAAAAATTTTAAAACTATAATGATAGTTCAAGTGTCTGCCATACAGGTAGGAACTATCAAATAAGTAAACTTAGACCTTTATCCAGTGATAATGGATGCTCCAGAGTTCTTGTAAAGTGAATATACTATACTTTGATAATGACACATCTATTTTGTCCCTCACTCAGAGACTATTCACTTTTCTTTGATACACAATTTCAATAGGACCTAAGGCCACCAATTATGAAGGATGCTGGAAAACTTTATATATATATACATGTGTATGTATACACATATGTGTATATAAACACATATACATACACGTATATATACACATGTATATATACACATATATGTGTGTGTATGTATATATATATGAAGTGATTAAATAATAGATGAAATGTAACATATCAAGAAGCTGAGAAGAATGAAATACCCCTATAATCACCTGAAAGACAATGGTGGTCCATAGGCATTCACTATACAGGTGAAAAGCCCAAAGAAACTGTGAACCTTGAGATCCTAACTCTAAGTAAAACAGAATATAAGGTTTCCTTATCAGGGTCTCCAATTATCCAAACAAAGTCAAGTATATTATTTCTATTCATAAGACCTTATAGAAATACATAAGACATTTTAAAAATAGTTTCATCCAAAATGACCTGATTAAAAAGAGGTTTTATATTCATAGAAAATTTATTTAACCAGAAAAATAAGTAGCAAAATTGACAAGAATTTGGTTAATTAGAGTTTTATTTCATACATTTATAAATACATGTTATTCATTAAACATAATTTCTTCTATTGTAGGAAACTCAGTAACTCTTTTCTGGATTCAATGTTAAATAGCTACTATAAAAATATCTTAACCATAATTTGTTAAAAGCATAAAATAGAATAATGGACTTTTTAATCTCTTTTTAGATAATATTTAACTTAAAATCTACCCTCCAAGGAAGGTTAAAGAAACAAACAAATATAAATTTACTACATTAGTGATTAAAATATAAGGCCTTCAAAGGATGTACAGTTATGGAAGACTCAGTTCTTTCCTTGTAAAGTCATGCAAATTGAATTTTGCAGAATATTTGGTATGCAAAATCTGGAAAATGTCAGTATGAATAAGCCCAGTCAATTGTTGATTCAACTTTCTAATGGATTTACTATTGTTTTTTCTCTGTAGATTCTCTTTGTCTATTCTAATATTTACTTCACCGCTATGATAGAGACAAATGGGTTCCCAAGTGCCCAGGGTTTCTAAATTTGCTTTTGAACTAAACTGACAGTTATGCACTCAGTGGAAATAACTTTCAAGAAAAGGTAATGAAAGCTCTTCTCTAAAAATTGGGAAATTACCAGTGTTTACATAATTTAAAATACATTTCTTCTATATGCATTTCTACTTAAAGCTCATAATGGAGTACTTCCTTTTAGTGGTTTTCCAGAATCATTGAATTATATTAGGTTAATTGTTTTTAATTTTAAAGTAGAAATAACATCCTCCCAGGGATAGATAAATCAATAATTTTTAAATTTCTTGAATATTCATTAAAATATGTCACATGAATCAATTGTTCTTTCCCAAGTGTTTTTTAGCAATTTGTTAATACAGATACTAGGTTGTATCCAGTCTGTTTAAGAATGCATATTCTTAATTTCCTCATTTTAATGATGATAAAAAACTTCATGCCTGAAATTTATGTTTTCATTTCAACTTTAAAACCCCTCTCTAGGTCAAACACAAAGAACTACGCTGCATTTTGGAGGGATGGTTTAAGTTCAGAAAGAAGCACTTTCTGAGCAGCATTAATATTTAAAAAGAAAATGAATTCCATAGAATAAAAAGCAATATCAGAGTGTTTTGCAATCAATAAATATAATTATTTTGTAAATTTTATTTCCGATATGTTCATATTTCTGTCTGTGTGTGTATATGTGCATGTACTAAGTCATAATATAAAATGTATTTCTTATTGTGGGTTGTGGTCCAAGTGTTTGAATGTTCCCGGTCTTTTAAAAATGCCTACACATAATAGGTAAGTGAGAAAGGACAGTGTTAGCAGAGAGAAAGAAGCAGCAGCATAGAACAATGTCAAACAAAGAAGAAAAGCATGATATACAGAATGGGCAAAAATATCAAATGAAATAGCAGTAAGTGCCTCTTGTTTAACTGAGATCTTAGACAAAGCCATCAGACTTGACAGAAAAAAAGGTTTCTGGTGTTAGTGAAGCATGCAATGTTACTTGGGTGTTGTATGTAACAGCCAGATTTTTTAAAGAATTGGGACTGATAGGGAAATAATTATGTCATCAGGTGTAAGTGATTTATTCAAAGATTTCCAAATAAAACAGAAAGAAAATGAATAGTATTTAAAGACATGGCATGGTCAAGGAAAAGTGTGCAAAATGGTAGAAAATTGGGTGTATTTGAAAGAGGTGGTTGGATTTGAAAATCTGAAGAACCAAATGATAGATATAAAGGTAGAGTCAAATCCTGTGTTGCTGAAAGCAAAGGTGGATTTTACTGTTGTGCAGTTACCAGAAATAGACAATGAGCAGAGAAGTGGAAGAAGGCTCAAATCAGAGGAAGCATTGTTAGAAATAT